CTCCAGATTTGGTTGCGTTTTTAGGCGGATTGGCTTGTCCTTTTCCGATCACAGCCACGGTTGAATCTGATTTTTCGACACTGAAATGGGAGAAGGACGTCCACAGAAGCTCTTTGACGTCATTCGCCTTAGAAGGGATCTTACATTCTCGACAGTTCTTCGCTCAGCAATAGATCAATAAATCCATTCGAGACATTTGAATATGGTATTCTGTAGAGCTTGAGATACTTTAAATGGAAGTGCCTTATGTGCCTTATTTTGATCACGTGACGTGTCGTTTTTCATTGATATACGGCATAAAAGGCATTTGCCTTACATGAAGAGGCCAATGTAAAAGTCATTTATTGAAATAAGGTTCATATGAAACAAAAGTTTATACATCAGACTATTTCTTTATAGTAATTTGATTCCATAACGTATCCATTTCGAGTTTGTCAACAGGCCACTTATATCCCCGGTACATTTGAGCGTACGACCGGACAAACTTCGCGGGACTCTACTTGATGTTTAACACTACTCAGGCGCCGAATTCATTGCGAGCGAAATTCCATGCTTGGTTCCAACCCGTGTCACTGCTCCAGCTCACTCCACCACGCAGTAAAGTTGCTTTTCCTCTCATGTGTTCAGACTCTCGTACCTTTACAGCATATGTACATATTCATTTTTCAAAGTGATATGCTTCATCTTGCTTGAGAAGCGCTGCGTTTGTATGTGTCACCTGGGTTACACCATTCTTCTATATAAAAAATTATACCTGCAATTTATCGGTATGAAATCTGAGCATCATTTGGAGCACAACATAGTAGATACGTTTTTGTGATGAAGGTGACACTTTTTCAATCCGCTATACTAAATTTTGTTATTGTCATCATTTTACTGAAAACTACGACTTTTACTCCAAGTCGCAACACTTATAAATAAATCATGTTTGTGCGTATTGCAAAGTAAAAGCAAAATGACTCTCAGCATTTTGTCGTAAGTTAATCTTGAAAGCGTGAAACCGGGTACGTCAAAGAATTCTCTTTTTTTCCGTCACATTAAAAGAAATTAGTCAGTAATCATGTACTGGTTTGTATTCACCAACCAAGTAAACTACTTTAGTTAAAATTGTGGTAAACTGAATATCTAACTATACTCGAAAGTTATCTTCATACACCAAGTTGAGAACAAATCCGTCTTGACTGAATTTCTAAGCGGATGCAATACCACGATTTCTTCACGTACTTCGATTTGTTCTCTTCCCTTCCAAATACCATCAGCACAACATTTCTAAATATAAGAAAGAGAGCAAATTCCATTTAACTAATCTATAATCTTCCGATGTGGTGTCAGCAAATAGATTAGAGTTATACAATCTGCTTAGGAGATAAGTACCCTATCGGTGCACGAAAACTGCGCGTGTTCTCGTAACGAGGTGTAAAGAATATTATCAAAGACGGTGCTTTGTGGTAAAAAGTGATTTAGCTGGTAGATGATGGAGTAAAATATCAAAAAGATATGAAATTTTACGTGAGTGGTTTTGAAAGCCATGAACGAATTAATCGCTTGTTCAATTCACGCCAATACTTCAAGCAAGAATCAAGGGGTTCTTTACACCCGCTGGTTGCGTAGCCAGAGGGTGGTCACTCGTATAAGCCCAACAAATACGACCTTGGGAGTTTAGGGGTAAAGTATCACCTCCTCCATACTCTCCGTAGAGGAAAACGAGATATTTGGCTGCTTCAATCCCGCCTGCAGCATCTCCCTCGCACGCGACAAGACCACAGCGATGTCGTGCCCACTTTGGTCATGTGTGAATGCATAGACCGCGAGGTGCTGGCACGCGAATAGAACTTCGCGGTGACAAAAGCCCATTTATCTTCTCCATCATCCTTTTCATCGACAGCATCGCCCTCTCCAGTACTGGTCGGCGGAATGATGTCCACCGTGGCTTCGTGAAAGCTGATTTAAATGTCGATGTAGGTGCTAGCGTCGAGCAAGTTGACGAGGTTGACATGGCGAATGAGAGCGCTGAGGTCGGCGAGATCATCGGCATCGACTCAGTCGTAGCCAAGGCTGCTGACTCGATGACCGGATGACACCGACAGTTCCGCATGGTGGTTTCACAGACACCAGCCCATGCATCAATGGAGAACTTAATCGCTGTCAGAACGTTCATGCGCGGAATGTTGCCGTCGGCATTGAGCTGGCCAATCGTTCAGCGTACAAGAAGCCTGTTGTACTCACACTTGAAGCTGTTGATAATACCAGCCTCGGGTGACTGCAAGGAAGATGGACTGGAAAAAGCACGCACTCACGCTAACAATCTGGATGCATTAATGGACGACGCGTTGTCTACCAACAGCAGCACTTTTCGGATGTGCATCTCAAGATTGAAGCGGTGGACCACCTCCAAGAAGATAACGTGCGTCATTCATGACTTCCTGTTCGCGTAAAACTGGATGTCAAGGTGCTTATTTTTTACCTCTCGCAAATAGTGAGAACTTTTGCTGCTGTGGATGATGACAGGGATCATCCACTCGGTTTCTGCCATATTGCAACACAGACCGGCAGCATTACGCGCGCTGTCTTTCTTGGTCCCACCGATCTTGCTAACTGCGAGAGACTGGCTGGCAGCTCGCGAAAGATGAGGCTGGTTGTATCAAAATTGGAGACATCCCGCGATTCATACTGCTCAATCAGTGCCTGTACTTCGTGGCGCTTGATGTCGACCGCGGCGAGATCCACTAAGTTGAAAATTTGCCCTGTGCAGTGCGCAATCGAATGCTGTAGCGCCGTTTGATACATGCTCGAGATGCCTTCCGGATGGAGACGCTCGTTTGCCTTATCCTAACGAACAGAATTATATAGAGCTGCGGAGGCTTGGTGCAGCTACATAGACGTCTGCAAGATCAGCTCCATGTCTTGAAATTGAGGCTGGATCTGGCGTCACACGTTCATATTCAGTGGAACTGAGGTTGACGCGAAGACGACGCGGGTTACTGTCGAACGACCAATGGTCTTGCCGGACTTGGATAGTACTAAGAAGTGAGATCCTGACTGCAGCGGGGCTACCGTAGCACTTTCGCTTAGAAATATTTTGGTTAAAGTCGGTGATCTTCGTTCTATGCTTAGAATCAGTACGAGTGTAGCGGATTGCAATCCACTTACCCCAAGAGTACCCACAACCTTAACTTAATGCTTATCAACTCTTCCGTTTAGAAGTAAACTATATTTCTCGGTTTAATTTGCGGCAAAGCCGCCTATTCAAATCTATATATTTTTCTAATTAAATAGTAAAACCTAATTAAAATGCATAACTACCGGCAATCCAGCCACCTAGTGCCTTCTTGTTAAGATGTAGCCACACCATTGTGTGATCACACAATATCATGAGACCCATCCATTCATATTAGGGTAGGTGTAACCCCGTTACACCTTCCCCATCAAAGTTGTGAGCACACACAATTGACAACTGTCACATCGTACGAGGCTAGCGTGTCTAAGACACCTCTGCATCGCC